GTCGTATATCTCTTGGTTCGTGTAGGTATCCAGCACCTCGCGATCACAACGCGCGATCGACACCGCGCCCGCGACGAGCGAAGCTTCTTCAACTCTACCAAACACATTTTTGCATGTAATGCACGGCTCCGTACCGCTAGCAACCTTCGTGCCAGCGACTTGGTCATGTGCCTTCTCGTCGCAAAGGAAGCCAGAGAACGTCGCAGTGCATATGAGATCTCGCTCGCCGTGAGTTGCGATTAAGACGCCGTGGGTGAACGAATGCCCAGCGGTAGGGAGGAACGTCCGCATCACCATGCGCATGAGGCCCGACACCTTGCCAGGCAGTTTCTCGACTAGCGTCGACCGAATAGTACCGAATGTCGGCCACGCTATTGTCCGCTGGAGCAACCACTGGGGCCAATCAGCGAATGCCCAATATATTGCCTGCAACGTCCTCGACTTCTCTGGGCGAAGGGGGGTCCCAGGGCACACCTCGTCTATGTATATAATGAGGCGGAGCGGGCGTCCAGTGCAGCACGCTGCCATGATGTCGGCGAAGGAGTGCGACTTTTTACAAGCATAACGCAAGAACGCCATGGGATGTATGTAACTCCAGCGGCGGAGCTCTGGCAACCCCAAGTCAAACTGTTGGATGACGGTGCCATATGGCGTCTCCTCGAGGCCGTGCTGCACCGTCGACTCGCGCAGCTGCCGCCTTAGCGTTGACGGGTTCTCGTCCAAGACCCCATCCTTCAAAAACCCTGCCTCGTTTAAGGCGCCCAATGCCTTTACCAACCCTGTTTTAGTCCCGCACTGCGCCAGCGTCTGAAACAACTCATCGCGATTCGTGGCCCGCTTAGTTGGCGGGCCACAATCATGCTCAGCCGGCTTGGCCCGCTTAGGTGGCGGGCCGCAATCGCGCCCAGCCCGCTTGGGCATCTATCGCCCGACGCCCTGGCGCCATGGCGGAATTGAGCCTAAACGTTTACATGCATGCACGCGCGAACAATCGACGGTCGCTCGACAATCGGCGCGACAATCAGCTCCCCAATGATGCCCCACGAGGGCACGCGATGCCCTAAACGTCACCATGAGGACCCTGAGAAGAGCCCCGATAGAGCCCCAAGACTGCCCCTCACGCGCCCCGCGTGCCGAGATATGTGCAAAGGCTGAGTCCCGACAACACCAGAATAAACCCACATGTCAGACAAATGTGTGTTTTCTGAGTTCGTCGATGGTGCCGTTCGACCCATTAAACCTGTGTCGGAAACGATATCGTTTAAAAACTCGATTGTCGCATCAGTTTGTTGCCATCAGTTTGTAAACACTCGATTGTCGCATCATGAGAGGAGGAGGAGGAAAAGGAGGAGGAGGGTGATGATGATGATGATGATGCTGATGATGATGATGCCATCGCGAGGGGCCTCTTGGGGTCCGCCTGGAGCCTCTGGGGTCTTGGAGCCCTGCGACGCCAACCAGGAGACTCGACACCCGAAGACTCGAAACCTGGCGCTCCCCTCTTCCCTTCCCCTCCGTGTTTGCAACGCGGAAGGTGGCGCGCACGACACCGATGTCTGTCACGCAGGTATGCGCCGATCGGACAGCGGTTGCATGTGCAAAGCAAGGGCTCGGGTGGGCGTTGCACGCGCGCTCTCGGAAGCAGCGACGGTGCGGCCGATTAGAGCGCGAACACCTCGACTAGGGATGCGACGCGGGTGTCATGTAAGGCAACTCCGAAACTTGAAATGGCACTGCATAGGCGCAACTGGCATCACGCGTAAAAGAGACCGCGCATCGCGCGGTCGACGCGACGATCGTAGCATGCGAGCACCTCTCACAGTGGGGTCATAATATGAATTTTTCTGCCAGCAGCCGACGGATGGCGGCTGTCGGGGTCGAAAGAGTAGCCGCCCTGGACATCGCATATGGCCGCGGCGTCGGCCCGCCAAAAGGCCTACGACTGGTTCGGGTCAATCCTTGCACGCGGAGCCAGCGTGGCCTGATCTCACCGATGGCATTGTGCTCGGGCAGCCGCGTCGGGCGCGCGATGACGTCACGCGGTGTCTGGAGCACTGCACTGAGGGCAGTGATCCAGAAAAGGCTGGGGTGTGGGCGGCCCCTGAAACCCTTAAAAAGGCTTTTCGAATTTCCTTCCGGGGCGCGTTCCGGAAGAGCCCTTCCGGATGGAGTTTTTTTTGCCCAGTGGGCGGTGCTCCACCCGCGCCGTGCGATGTCACTCCGCGCGCGCCGTGCACCCATGGACTGCCGCGGACGCCCCTGCACAATGCTGCATCGCGAAATCAAGCCGCGCGAGCTTCCGCGCCGATGCTCCTGTTACGCGCGTGGCGAACGCAGCTGTGCACGGAGGCCGACGGCTTGCGCGCGCCCTGGCCGTCCGCGCGGTGCTTCGGCAGCTTGCTGATCATGTGGTTGGCGGCCTCCGCCCCGCCCTGGGGCAGCTGGCTCAGGAGGAACAGCTCCACGCGAGCGGTGTCGTCGACGCCCATGCCCACCATCACGCTCTTCCAGTTCGCGACGTCGAACACGGTGGTCTCCCACGTCTCCGCCGCCTGCGGGGGCCGACGTGGCGCCGCGCGGTTTACGGCGGCAACGCGACCGAGCAAGATGCCACGACCGCCCCGCGGCTCACGATCGCGGGGCGTGCCGCGGCGTGCTCCGCGGGGCGGCCACGGGGCGTCTTTGGTCGCGCTGCAGTTGTAAACCACGCGGCTGCTTGTGGGCCCGAAATCCAAGAAACAACGCGGTCGGATAATGTTTTAAGGCTTCGGGCCCATAAGCCCAAACATGGCCCATAAGCCCATACATGGGGATCACGGATGTCCTAACCTGGGACGTGGTGTATCTCCAGGCTCGATGATGTTGGTGAGGATGATGGCGATGGTGATGGTAACGGTGTGGATGAGCAGGCGGAGGCATGAGGAAGAGGAGGAGGAGAGCCGTCACATGTGACACCTTCTGGCCTTGGGCCGTCTTGGGCCTCTTGGGGGTCCTTTGGGGCGTCTTGGGGCGTTTGGGGGGCCTCTTGGGGGCGTCTTGGGCCGTCTTGGGCCATCTTGAGGCCGTCTGGGCCGTTTGCCTTTCGGCTCGTCTGGAGGGTCTTTTGGGCGTCTGGGGCTCCACAAGGGCCCCAGGAGGGCCCCGAGAGCGCTGCAAGAGGGCTCGAAGAGGGCCTAAATATTCACAGAAATTTAACCGAACGTGCTCTTCAACAACGAAATGGTTGGGGGCCTCTCAGGGCTTTCAAGCAACCCCCGAATGCTTCCACCACCTCCTGGCGCGCTGGCGCCGCTGGCGCGCAAGGCCGCGGGTACAACGGCGGCACTACCGTAGGCGTGTGGGGCGGGGGCCCAGCAAGGGTGGGCGCCTTCCACGGCGGGGCCATGGGGGCCCTCGGAGCCGACGTTGGAGCCACCTCCTCAGTTGGAGCCGTCGTGGGGCCAGTGTTCATCTTGCGGCACTTCGACGGCGGCGGCGCCGTCGGCGGCCGCGGCGTCTTGGACGGGCCCGACGACGACGGCCTCGGCCGCTCCTCAGGGACACGCTCCTCGCCACCGAGCTGGCCATCGCCCTCGGCAGCGGCCGCGGCCTCTTCGATGTGCGAGTCAACGTGCGTACTCATCAGTAGGACGTGGTCGCCGATGATCATGTCCTCGCCCCTGCCCATGGCCACCATGGCATCCCACATCGAGTCCCAGTGGTACTGCGACTCCCGACTCTGCACCACGACGTCATGGCCGCACGACTTCGCCGATGGCGCCTCGATCAGCGCCCACGGGGATGCCGCCCACGACCGCGCGCGAGCAATCAACGGATCAAACTCGCGATCCTTCGCCCCGAACACGTGGAACGCCTGACAGTTTAACACGCGCGTGCCGTCCACATTCACAATGTAGTTGAGGCAATCTTTGATTGCACGTCCCATGACGTTAGACCTGCGGCAGCCTTTATTGCACCCAACCATCGCGAGCACGCCCGTCATGCCGTCGCTGTAGAGAAGCACCTCCCCGCACGCGAACACGTTGCGGACAACTTCCATGAGCGATGGGTTGAATGACTCCTGGTTGAACACGCTGGGAATGGTCTTCGGCACCGCCCCGTCCTCCGCGTAGTTGACGCCGAACTCCGTGTGCGGGTCGCGCATGGTCTTCCTCAGGTCGATGTTACAAGTGGCAATGGTCTCGTCGCTCTCGAGGTGGGCGCGGTCCACTGCATCGCCGTGAACTGCCTGCCCGAACGTCAGCACGGCAACTGGGATCGGCATGATGCCTGCCACGCGGGCCTGCATGGATGCCATCGCGGCCGCAATGCGGGTGCCGCGCCGAAGCAAACACCGAATCTTCTCAGAGCACAAACGGCATCAGCATACGGAGACGATAGGGGGTTGATGGCGATCGCGGTTCGGCGATCGCCGTCGCGCGTGGCCAGCTGCATGTACGATTGCGCGAGCACCCCATGGCGCGTGCAAGCAATAGTCCCAACAACCTTCTTGGCGTGGGTGGTTTGGCGTGTCCATCTTGTAAGCACGTTATTCCGACTGGCCCCGCCCATATTGTTTCCCATAGGACTTATGAGGTTTTGGACCCCAGCGAGGCCACATTAGAGGACTTATGAGGGTTGAGGGCCCCAGCGAGGCCACATTAGAGGACTCCTGCGCGAAAGGGGGAGGGGGCACTTTTGAAAATGTCTGCAGGGGCGTCGTTCCTGAATTGGCTGGTGGGGACGCGCGAAGCGCCAAGAATTTGGACGCGCACCGACGAGCGACGACGCATTGACGACAGGCGGCGGCATTCTCTGGATTACATGTGTACTCTATGTGCAGCGAGCGACAGCGACCTCTGGCAATGCATGCAACAGCCTGGCGGGATGGCGTATGATCGCGCAACCCCTGCGCAACCGCCCCCGAAACGCATCCCGCATCGTGCTGTCGAGCAACAAATGCCAGAGACACACGCACACACACACACACACACACGCATGCTACGCATCATGCTCACACGTCACTTGGCGATGAGGCTGGGCGCGCGGGGAGTGAAATAGCGCTTGATGCCGCGCTCCGCCTTCACAGGCGTCTCAACGGGCTCTGGAGGCTGGTCGGCATCTTGATCGGGCTCTTGAGGCTGGTCGGCATCTTGATCGCTTTCCTGGCCAACGCCCTCATCAGGCTGATCGGCATGACCTTGGGGCGCGACCTCGCCGAGCTGCCAAGACTGGGCGCGCTGCGCAGCCTTCTCCAGCGAATGATCGTGCTCGTCAAGCCTGATGTACTTGGCGGCCTTGCCGTTCTCGCCCAACTTCTTGAATGCCCGAACGCAGTCCCGACCGTTCTTCGTGGTGACGCCCATGCTCGCGAGGCACATGTGCTCGAACAAGGGGTCCCTATCTTTCTTTGGGGTGACACCGTCATGAGCGTTGAACTGCGCCAGCATCACCCTCCCCAGGTACGCGAGCGTGTCGGTGTCGAGCTCCGCGAGAAGGTCAGGCGCGCCAGGCTTGTTAAGGACGACCTTCATGTTGCGGGAGGGCTCCTCGCCAACGGCAGGCAGCGTGATCTCCTTGAACGAGTCCTCAGCCGTGATGAGAAGCACGCTCGATTGCCGATTCCAACGCTTGTTCTTGGCCTTGCACTCCTTGTACACCAGACTGTCCTTGAGCTGACGGATGTCCTGGACAATCGTCGTCCGACTGACTGGCCTGTCGCATTCCTTGCTGCGGAGGCCGTGTAGGAACAGCTGGTCAGCAACCCTGCCCTTGGACAAATTGAAAAACCTCTCGCCCTCAACTTCGCGTGCGCAGAGGTACACGCTGGCGCCATCGTCGCTGGTGACGCGCACCGCTGGCTCGATGCGGAAAGCCATCTCTGCGAACACCTGCAGAGCAAAAACGGCTACAGAACGGACGACCGAAAATTGACAATCGAGTCTGCGTCGAATGCAGCGCATTCGCAGCCGCTCGATTGGAGGCGAACCCGAAACGATGCAACATCGATATGCGATCTGCGCGTTTCGTCGGACTGGTCTGGGGCGCAACGCCCGCATCCCAACTGATGTTCATATCACGGTCGCGGCCTGCTGCAGGCGGCGATGGAGAGGGAAAGCTGGCCCTCGCAGTGGCCGAACGCTGACGGCCCTCGTGCTCAGCACCCCTACGGCGATAACTCAAACTCATACGATCGTGCCCCAGGCCTCCTCACCCAGAACTTCCTGATCGCATGAACCAGGGCTCACTTGCTCTTACGGGCCCTCTTGGACTCGAGGACGGGCCCCGAGATTGTGTCCTTCGTCTTAGTCTCCGCGGCATCCATGTGAAGCACGAGCTCATCGTAAGCGGCGACTTTCTTGAAGTTCGTCGCGCAAAGGATGACGATGTCAATGTTCGGGCTGACGCTCCGATCACCAACCACGGGGCGCCCCCCCCCCCACCTCGCACTGAACTCCTTGAGCTCGCAGTTGCACAAGGACTTGCCGGACTCCACTCGCATGCACCAGAACTGGCACGTGAACTCGTCGGTCGGAGGCGTTGGCATGATGAACATCTTCGGCGCGCCGTCGACTGGAATGGCGGCCTCGATTGCCTTGGGCGGGCACGTTTTGATGGTCTCGGACTGCGGTGCAATTGACCGAGAAGCAGGCACGGCGACGTAACTTCCCACGCCGAACGCCTTGGACGCCAGGGCTGCCCTGCATGGCCTTTGCATGGGGAGCGCGCTCTGCACGCCGTACTTCCGAAGGAGCGCGTTCAAGGCGCCAAACACCATGCCCTTGAACTCATGGTTGGCCATGTCCTTGTCGTTGGCCGCATCGTTGCCAGGGTAGCCTCCTACGAACTCCTTCGCCTTGCACGTCTTGTACGTCTCCTCGATGTCCGACAATGTCTTGGAAATTGTCGTGTCGTCAATAGTGCCATCTGGTTTCACCATCTTGAAGCTGACCACCCCGCCATCCGAGACGTCGACGATTTTCCACATGTCCTGCATTGCAGCGGACACGACAGCACGGGGCTTGCGAAGTTGCAGGTGCACGCCCTCCGCGATGTCCTTGTTGAGCGCGGTCGTCTTGCCCAGGCCCGACGTCTCGCCGCCCTCGGTGCGCTGCACGAAGTTCGCGCCGCCAGATGCCGAAGGATATTCAGCGACATCGGCTGGCAGCTGCATCGCCGCCGCGCCCTCGCCCAGCTTCATTACGAACTTCTCGAGGATCGCCTGCAGACTGGTGGGCTGCTTGCCTTTGTCCTTGCCGACGCCCTTGCCTTTGCCCTTGTCCTTGTTCCTCTCGAGATGGAAGCCTACGACTTCGATCATCAGATCGCCCTTGGTCGCCTCCACGGCGGCTGGGTCCATGGACGACTCGGCGAGCATCGCCTTGGCGCGCATGAGGGCGCCGTTCGCCTTCATCACTGTGGCGCGCTTCTCAGGCTTGCTCAGCGTAGCCAAGTCCTTGCTCGTGACGTTCCTGGCGAAGCCGTCGTGCACGTTCTCGTCGGACGCCGCGTGCCGAAAGAGCACAGCATTTATCACGCGTGCAGGCATGGCGTCAATAGGGAATTTCAAATCAGCCACAGCCTTGAACATGCTGCCTGACACCGCGCGGTCGGAAGGCGCGAAGTGGTCCAGAAGAGGCGTGAGCTCCTTGATCAAGCCGCCGCTGGGCATGCCGCCCCACTTCTTGACGTACTCGACCATGTCTGGCACGTCCACAGCCCTGGGGGGTTGAGACTTCAAAACCTTCTTGGTCACCTCTTTGAAGTCAGGCTGCGGGCCCATGGGCGACGCGGCGTCGACGATGCTCAAAAGGTTATGGTACCATGTCTCGCCTGGCGCGACCCCCCCTCGGCCCCCCTCGCCCCCACCACCCCCGCGACGCACGACAAACTCCAATGCCCCCTCCCCCCACTCCGAACGGATAAACGCATGCCGAGTGCATGTACATATCATTAAACATATATTTGAAAATTGCTAGACTGCCTTCGGACGTCTGCTGCACGGTGTTCAGGGCACCGCCGGCGACATGAGCAGCGCTCGGCAACGCTGCGTGGACAACCCACTTCACGACCGCGAACTTGACGCCCACCTCGATGGCATTCCTGAGAAGGCCATGCTTGTCTCGGCTGCAGACAGTGTCGATGTGCACGTTGCCGTCCTCCGTCAAGTCGTCGATGTCGCTCTCGACGCCGTCGTGCACGCATGCAAACCCATGCAGTGCGTGCGTTGCCCCCCATGCTCCCACCCTGATCTCCTCCTCCTTGTAGTTCGCAAAGCATGCATGCGTAGCGCATTTCTTCGCCGTGTATTTGGCGTACTCCCTCGTGTACGGGTTGTCTTCTCCCGCCACCGCGTTGTTGGCAATGGCCTTCAAAGAAAACCCTGACGTTTTGATGACCTGCACGCGCCCGTGAGCCCGACGCCACTGCACGCCCTCGCCACCGCGATTCCGCTCCCATGCGCCGACCTGCTTGGAGTGATACACCTGCTCGAAAGATTGCGAGCACTTCTTGCAAATGTCCAGGATGCGATCTTTCAGCTCAACGTTTCCAGAACTTGAAGCGGACGCCGATGCACCCCATTCGTCACAGATCTGTTTAAGCTATGAAAAAGCACGGCGTCGACTTAAAAGCCGCGATGCATTGCTCCATTGTCGTCGCCATGCTGGCGTGCAGACGCGACAAGCGAAAGCGTGATCAGACGCGAGAGGGTGATCAACCGCGACAAGCGAAAGCGTGGACAAGCGAAAGCGTGATCAACCGTCGCCTCAACAGACTGAGCCATCATGTGGTACGGACGACGACATCGACAGAATTATTCCTAGTGCAACTGCGAAGCGCAATCACCGACGCGCGAACACAGCGACGACCCGATGCGACTCCACGAACACAAACATGACATCCGACGAAAGGACAAGCGTGACAATTTCCAGCCGTGATACTGCGCGCATGCATGCTCAACCGACAGGCGATACTTCTACACAGCGCCATTGCACATTGACTAGAGACAACGCGTCGGATGTCGAACGGTGCAGCTACTACACTGGCGGAGGACCCAACCATGCGCAATTGCGAGACCCGCATTTGTGAGAGCATCGTCTTCGGATGAGGATAAAGGTTGGAGGGGGCGCGTGGCGCTGTCTTTGCAAAACGAAGACCCAAAACACATGATGAAATATAGTCCTACTAAGGATAGGTCATCGTCTTAGTGGTCTCATCGCACGCGGGCGTCATGTGATTCGCATATCGACGCCGAATGTTTCTATTTACTTGGAGGGCCCTTTATTTTTTGAGGGGGGACCTGTATACTTTTCGGGTGGTCACATCTACTTTTTTGGGGTCATATATATATATATATATATATAGTTTTGTGTTGTACTTATTGGGGCGCTCCACTATGTGTTGAAGGGGTCATTCATTCTGCTGGGAGGGTCCCATATACGTTTCTGTTTTTCGTCGTCAGGTTATAACTAAGTTAAGTTGCCCGTGCATAAGTCAATCGCAACCCGTCCAACCATTCGCTTTTACTTCCTAACCCCCGTGGGGGTTAGTAAACGCTGCGGCTGCGTTAGGCACGTTGGAGCAGACTAACTACCACGTCACAACAGGGTTGGCCGAAGATGCAACAGCGTTGCAAGCAAACGAACAACGAAGCAGGACGGGGCCGGGGACCATCCTACGCCACGTTGGAAACGCAAGTCCACAGCTAGGCAGCACCGGCAGTGCGAAGACTCCAAGCGCAAAAGCACGATGCATCATCGAGGTGCCACGCGTGGTGCGCGGGCGGGTCGGGTCGGGCGGGCCCCGACGGGCGGGTCGGGGAGCCAACGCAGGAGTGACGCGCAAGCACGAGGGCAGAGGAGAGGCGGGAGGCGGCCGGCCCGGCGCAGAAGTGGCCGGTGGCGGACGGGGGGCCTCCAGGGGCGCCTGGCCCCTCGCGCGCTGCGCGCCGGCACGCCCCGCGGCCGCGGGGAGTTCCCCTCCAGAGCCACGGCCCGGTGGCCTGTCCCCTCCTCCTCCTCCTCCTCCTCCTCCTCCTCCTCTCCTCCTCCTCCTCCTCCTCCTCCTCCTCCTCCTCCTCCTCCTCCTCCTCCTCCTCCTCCTCCTCTCCTCCTCCTCCTCCTCCTCCTCCTCCTCCTCCTCCTCCTCCTCCTCCTCCTCCTCCTCCTCCTCCTCCTCCTCCTCCTCCTCCTCTCCTCCTCCTCCTCCTCCCCCCCCCCGTGGCCCCTCCGTGCGCGCCTGGCCGAGGCGCGCGGAGGTCTCGAGGCCGTGCGCCCCCTGGGGGGCGCGCCTCGCCCCCCCCGGCGGCGCCCCCCCCGTGGCGCGCGGGGAGGGGATGCCGCCGCTCGGGGAGCCGCGGCCCGCAGGCCCTCCCCTTCTCCGCGGTGCCTCCTCCTCCTCCTCCTTCTCCTCCTCCTCCTCCTTTCCTCTCCTCCTCCTCCTCCTCGTCCTCCTCCTCCTCCTCCTCCTCCTCCTCCTCCTCCTCCTCCTCCTCCTCCTCCTCCTCCTCCTCCTCCTCCTCCTCCTCACCAGACGAGCTGACCAAGAGCGGCCTGCTTGAAGTGTGGGACGGGGAGATTGTCACCCCGAGTGGATGCAGCGCGACTTGTGCTCTTGGCAGTGGTTCTTTGATCGAGTACTTGGTGGTCAAGATGGGTTTCGCAGACCAACTCAGAGTCAAGCCATTCACACTCGTTCCATGGAAGACACACACGTAGCCCTGGACATTGAGATTCTTTCAGGGCACGCTGATTGGTGGCATCAGGTTTTGGACTCTCCCAGTGGGCCCCCGCAAAGGCCCAGGCCCAAGAGCGTTTCAGACCCTGACAGTAAGCGCTCGAGGCGTCGTGAGGAAGCTCGTGTTCGTAGACGAGAGCGACTCAGCGCCGACCTACAGGGTGCCTTCGACGAAGTCAACCCCCTGATGAGGAGGGGCCTGATGACGTTGCTTCGCAGGTACCCTTTCGTGTCGATTCTGACGACTGGGCCGCCGCTGCTATTGAGGCTCAGCCGTGGGTAAGTACCTGCTCGGACTCGAAGGCTTGGGCTTTCCCGACGGGCTCGGCAGATGACGTACAATCCATTTCCCAGTCGTATCAACGCTGGGTATCTACCTTGGAACTGGCCATATTACGCACTGAAGGCATCCCATCCGACCAGCGGGCCCCGTACATTGGACGCGGCAAATTGTATGGCCTTACTCGACGCGAGCTACAGCCGTCCCCTGGGCGTACTCATATGCGTAACCCTACCATGGAGTTTTGGTGGACGATGTCGTCGCTGGTCACACGTTATACCTCCCTGCGCCGACACGATCGGGACCCCGTACAGCAGGAGGCTTTGACCACTTCCATCTCCAGCCTGATTGACCAGGCCGAGGCCCAGCCGAGGGCCGTTCTATTCGGACCCAGGGCCACCCACCAGGAGGTGCAGGAGTGGTTTGGTGTGGCCTGCCTCATCTTCGGGCCACCGCTGGACGTCGAGACCCTTGAGCGGTTTGGTGAGGTCACGGAGATTTGGTGCTCGCGCTCCTGGGGTAGGGCCTTAGTGTCCTCGGGCGCCGCCTATGTCAAGTGGGCCAGGGACTGCTGGCGCACCAGACCATCAGTGGTCCATCGTCACGTCCGTGACCCCCCACAGCCTGCTGCGCTCGAAGTTCCTGGCGATGGCCCCGAGGAGGCCACGGGGGGCCCTGACAAGATCATGGAGCACAAGCTGCAGGCGTGGCGGACCATCTGGACGGATCCACAGGCGTCGCGGGAGGACCTGTGCATGGGGCATGCAGGAGTTGCTCCAGCACGCGCGCCGCTACCCCATCAGCGAGCTGGAGGACGAGTCCATCATGAGAGTTGTCTCCAGGATGGCTCCCAACAAGGCTCGGGGCGTGGATGTACTCAGCCCCGTCGACATGCAGAGGCTGCCGACCGAGGGGCAGCGGCAGTTCGGCGACGTGCTGCGCGAAGCCGAGAGGGTAGGTTCGTGGCCTGTCCAGCTTTTGCTTGCTGTAAGAGCGACCGTCCCAAAACCTTCAGGAGGTGACAGGGTCATCGGTGTTCTGTCGACTTGCATGGGAGTCTGGTCCAGAGCTCGGGCCCCGATCACGGACCAGTGGCCCCAGGACCTCGGAGAGTTCTGGGACACGGCGATCCGAGGGTCCTCGGCTCCCAGAGCGGCCCTGCAGAGGGCCATATTAGACGAGTCCTCCTCCCAGCTGGGTTTCACCTCGGCCCCCCCCCTCCTCGACCTCGAAAAATTGTATGACCACGTTAGCATGCTGTTACTAATGCGTGCTTCGGTCGAGCAGGGTTCCCCCTCGATTGTCACCCTTTTAGAGGCGCAGATGTTCCTTGCTCCCAGGATCCTTCGGTCCGGGAACATCGCGTCGGATTTAACTTTTCCCGCCCGTTCTATAGTAGCTGGGTCCGCTCACGGTGTCAAGCTCGCCAAGGTTTTCCTGGGCCCGATTTTGTCGGCCGCTCATGCGGCCTCGGGGGCCCGCGCCCTGGTCTCCTCCGCGGGCCCCTGAACTTTTGTCGATGGCATCGTGGCGCGGGCTGAGGGCACCGAGGAGAATGTCATTGCTCAGCTCTCCACCATTGGCCAGCCGTTCGCCCGATCGTTTGCCTTGCATCAACCGCCCGTTTCGCCCAAGACCAAGGTCATTGCATCCCCCACTAAGGTTGGTAAGCGTACTGTGGCCAGTCTGAGAGAGGCTGGCATCCCAGCTTCCCTGGCGGTCCAAGCTGTCGACCTGGGTTGCGACACGGGAGGCGGGGCGCGGCGGGTGGTCGTCAGGCTTCTGGACCGTCAAAGGAAGGCCCGTCCACGCGCGCAGCGCATTCGACGCCTGCGACGCCACGCCAGGGCGGCCAAAGTGTCACAGGGGCTTTGGTTACAAGGGGCCCTTCCTCAGGCTGTATATGGCCATCAGGCCATGGGCCTCTCCCCTTCATCTATCCGGGCCTTGAGGCGCCAGGCTTCCCATTCTGTTGCCAGTAAAAGCCCAGGCCGTTGTCTTACCACGGTGCTCTCTCTGTTTTATGCTGAACGAGAGCCCTTCATCGCCTTGAGGGCTCAGGTGCTGTTCACGTGGTTTGACATGTGGGATAGGTTCCCTGAGTTGCATGGCCGCATCTCTCGCGCGTGGCCCCGCATTCGGGACCGCCTGGACCTGATGGCTTCGAAACGCTGGCGTCGGGTGCGGGGTCCGATCGGGGCCGTCGTCGCCACGTTACTGGACGTTGGGTGGAAGCCTGTGTCCCCTGTTGAGTGGCACAGACCCGTGGGGGACCAATATGAAGTGTGGCATTTTCCAGATCGGGATGACATTGAACGCCTAGAAGGCGACTTTGATGTCGTTGAGCTGGTTGATGATTTCAGGGGCGATTTAACTGCGCTCTTGCGGGCCCAGGCAGCGGCCCACCCTCACGGCGATGAATTGGCCGAGGGGGCTGATCTCCAGCCTTTGCGCCAGGAGCTTAGGCGT